CAACTAACCACAACTTCATGAGGATTATGGGTGATGGATAAAGAAAGGTCATTTTTTTCATCAAGTTTCTTCCAAAGAAAGGGAAAGCTCAAGGGGTTTTCAAAAGCGGTTCACACACTCACAAGGTAGGTCACAAAAGAGGTATATATCAAATTGGTTCACACTCTTAGAAGTTGCCTAAGATCATATCAAGAGATAACATCACTTAGTTGACCGGACCAACGGGGAAAATTCTAGGATCCATCATGCATAGTTCAGAGGTAAGCTCATCACACTAGGCATTGACACTATAAGTCAAACAAGACTACACACTTTTGCTAGTGTGCAATGATCATCACAAGAGACTCAATTTGATACTAGGCTAGTCATAACGAGATGCAAAGAGTTCACATATTATCTATGCAACTTCATTTGGCCTCATTGTAGCCGTGCATTTATGTTCGTTCAATTGAGAGCACTATTCAAGTCATCTGTATTGATCAGAACCGAGACTCAATTTTTTGCAAAAGAATAGCCATATTCAACACACGAGAGGTGGAAAAAGAATTTTGAACGGGTCAAAATCATTTTGCAATTTAAAATAAAAGGAACCACAAGCTCAAACATCCGTAGAAAGCAGTGTAAACACAATTTAAGCACAAAGCCCAAATATATACACAAAAACACGAGTTGCAAATAGCACACAAAAGGTGAGCCTCACCCCACCACAATTAAAAAGTATTTGTCCTCAAATGCAGTTAACATAATATCCAGAATTTAGAATAAACAAAGACAGAGAAGGAGGTAGAGAAAAATCATGTCTACACAGTCGCTCCATCTGTCTGGGCACAAGTGCCTGATGTGTTAGTCTGGGCTTGAATAATAGTCCCCAGAGCTACTTCAGAAGGTTCAGCGGCAACTGGCGTACTGAAATTGTCCAAGTCATGAGCCGCCAAGAAGAAACGTATAGTTGTGCATAATCCACGAGTCCATGAAGGGACTGTGGGATCTCGGGGGATAGATCTTTTGATGGAACTAGGCTTTTTTCCCTCTCTTCCTGTCTTGGGAGGATTCGCTTCCATTGTACCTTTCCTGAAATTTTTTGCTCTTATCTGTCGGGTGGCCTATTTCTTCCAGCTAATTTTGGTTTAGCTATATCTGCAAAACTTCGGGAAAGACTTAGAAAATATATTAACAAAAACATAGAAGTTTAGCTGCAGAAAAACTCCACTGAACCAGTTGGCGAAACACGCAACCGCTTAGGCAATTCACCAAGTGCAGTGCACAGAGGATACAAAGGTGCAGACAAAGGGTGAACAAGAGGTCTCTCGATGAGACGCCGAGTGCGTTCGACGACATCAGGCTTCTCGCCGAAAGTTACAGAATCAACAACATATTTATCATTCAATTAAAGGTGAGATGGGGACGTTAGGCAAATCGCGGAGTGGTTTGACGAGCTCAACCTAGCTCGCCAAATGGCTCAATGTACCTATTTTCAACCCATCTTCTCGAATTCAACCCTGCAACCCCCGAAAGTAAAATCAAAATATACAATAGTCAAATTAGGTTAAGACCCAGCGACACTTATGCATAACCGATGATTTTTCATCCACTATAGGGCACAATTTTCAGGGATCAACTATTTAACTCAGTATGGTCAATACTATCGAATCAAAGCAAGCAAAAAAAAATTATAATCTTCTCAGAGAGGACCAACACACATTATCAAAGTAGTGTCATTGCATTTGAGCACAACCTTTAATAAAAGGAACTTAGGACTTGGACACCAACCTTAGATGCCGATTAAGATGCTACTAAGATGCTAGGCGATAATGCAATCCAGATCCGAGCACAATTCAACAACCAAAATACAATAGAGAAGCAACGATATTGAAAGTAAAACTAGGTGTGAGTATGTAAAGTTTGAAAATGAGGGAAAGCGTAGGAAATTGAAACTTTTAAACCTTTGGCTTGAAAAACTTCCAGTTCTTGACCACTCGGCGACATTAGTCGTGAGCGCCGAACCATTCAGTGTCACGCCGAACAATCACATTCTTCACCGATTTTTACAGAATCCCCCAGTTAATTAGGGAGTCCAAACGGCGGTCTCTGCCGGGATCGTCGATATAGTCGACGATTCACCAAGAATTTTTTGTGCTCGCCGAGTTTTACAAACTCTAATGTAAGTTGGTCTTGAGTCTAACGGTGGTTTAGTTTGGGGTCGCCAAACCGTTCAGCGATTCGTTGATTGGACCTGTTGCTCGCCAATGTTCCCTTTTTAATCTCTTTTTACACTTCTATCTGCACAATCAACACACCATTATTTTATTAAAGCAACATAGAGCAATAAAGGGTTTTTGGTTGCCTTCCAAACAACGCCTTAGTTAATGTCGTGGCACGACGCGAAAGTGCCTTCAAGCATCTTCCAGATACACCACCTCGACCAAAGAAATCTCTTGACATTCCCCAAAATATAATTTCAAACGTTGACCGTTCACTTTAAATGGAGGTCCCTCTTGATCTTCAACTTCTATGGCACCATTGGTGAACACTCGTGTTACTCTAAAAGGTCCAGACCATTTGGATTTGAGCTTTTTGGGAAAGAGTCTATGTCAAGAGTTGTATACCAACACCCACTCCCCTACCTTGAAGTCCCGCTTGAGTATTCGAGAATCATGCCATTTCTTCATGTTCTCTTTGTAAATGGCTGAACTTTCATAAGATTTGAGTCTAAATTCATCCAGTTTGTTCAACTGCTCTACCTTTCCCCTTGAAGTTTTTTACCAGTTCAAATTTAAAGCTTTCAATGCCCACAATGCTTTGTGTTCCAACTCGATAGGCAAATGACAAGCCTTACCAAAAACCAATTGATATGGGGACATACCAATACGTGTTTTGTAAGCGGTTCGATATGCCCATAGTGCATCATCGAGCTTCCTAGACCAATTAGTTCTATTGGCATTCACTGTCTTTGTCAAGATGCTTTTGATCTCCCAATTTGATACCTTGACTTGGCCATTTGTTTGGGGATGATATGGGGTTGCTACCTTGTGTTTCACCCCATATTTTCTCAGTGCCATTGAAAACCACTTATTGTAAAAGTGGGATCCCCCATCACTAATAATTTCCCTAGGAGTGCCAAATCTTGCAAAGAAGTAACGTTTCAAGAATTGGACAACACTTTTTCCTTCGTTGTTTGGAAGTGCAATGACTTCCACCCATTTGGAAACATAATCTACAGCCACCAAGATATATTTATTTCCAAATGAGCTCACAAATGGGCCCATGAAATCGATCCCCCAAACATCGAATAGCTTGACCTCTAAAATAGGAGTGAGAGGTAGTTCATGTCTTCTAGACACTCCACCTTGTTGTTGACATTGAGAGCATTTCTTTGCAAATTCATGTGCATCCTTATAGAGGGACATCCAGTAATATCCACTTTGGAGAACTTTAGCGGCGGCGTGGATATCACTATGGTGACCTCCCACTGGAGATGCATGACAAGCATTGAGAATTTCTACCACTTCTTTTTCAAGAACACACCTTCTAATGACATGGTCAGCACACTCTCGAAACAGGTACGGTTCATCCCAAAAGTATTATTTAACATCGAACATGAACCTCTTTTGCTGGTAAATGGTCAACTCATCCGGCATCAGTCCACTCACAATGTACTTTGCAAAATCTACATACAATGGTGTGTGTTTGAGAGATATTGCAAACACCTGTTCATTGGGGAAGGAGTCATCTATGTCGACCTCATGCTCAACATCTTCCTTTCCTTCCAACCTCGATAAGTGATCAACCACTTGATTTTTGCAGCATTTACGATCTTTTACCTCAAAATCAAATTCTTGTAATAGTAGCACCCACCTTATCAATCTTGGTTTTGCATCTTTCTTTGCCATCAAGTAACAGAGTGCAGCATGATCAATATGTACAATTACTTTGGTACCTAGCAGGTATGCCCGAAACTTTTCAAATGCATAGACTACCGCAAGCAATTCTTGTTTAGTGACTGTATAATTTCACTGGGCACTATTTAGAGTCTTGCTTGCATAATAAATTGGATGAAATAGTTTGTTGCGCTTTTTCCCCAACACTACCCCCAATGCCATACCACTAGCATTACACATTACTTCAAAAGATTCGGACCAATTAGGGCTGATGATAATCGGGGTGGATACTAGTTTCTCTTTCATACACTGAAATGCAGCCATACAGGCGTCACCAAAATAGAACTTCGCTTCCTTCTCCAAGAGTTTGCATAGTGGGTGTGTAATCTTTGAGAAGTCTTTAAAGAACCTTCGGTAGAGCCCTGCATGCCCCAAGAAACTACGAACACCCTTCACTGAAATCAGCAGGGGTAGTTTCTCAATTACCTCAATTTTTGCCTTGTCAACTTCCAGTCGCTTTTGCGATACCTTGTGCCCAAGAACAGTACCTTCCTCCACCATAAAGTGACATTTCTCTCAATTCAGAACCAGATTCAGTTCCACGCATCTTTGGAGCACTTTCCCTAAGTGTGTCAAACATTCTTCAAATTTATCCCCTACGACTGAGAAGTCGTCCATGAATACCTCCATAGATTCTTCGACCATATCCGCAAAAATAGATAACATGCAATGCTGAAATGTCGTTGGGGCATTACATGACCCGAATGGCAACCTTTTGAATGCAAATGTTCCATAAGGGCAAGTAAAAATGGTTTTTTCTTGGTCTTCAGGCGCAATAGAGATTTCATTGTAACTGGAGTACCCATCTAAAAAACAATACCACCCCCTTTCCGATAACCGGTCAAGCATCTGGTCCATGAAAGGCATTAGAAAGTGGTCTTTTTCGGTCCATGAATTAAGTTTTAAATAGTCCATGCATACTCTCCACCCAGTAACTGGTCTAGTCAGCACGAGTTCCCCCTTTGCATTTGGGACTACAATGATACCTCCCTTTTTCGGTAAACATTACACCGGGCTTACCCATTTACTATATGTAATCGGGTAGATTACCCCCGCGTCTAACTACTTGATGATCTCCTTTTTCACCACCTCTTGCATTTGTGGGTTCAATCTCCGTTGATGTTCCACACTAGGTTTACATTCATTATCAAGCCGAATCTTGTGAGTACAAATACCAGGAGGAATGCCCACTATATCAGCTATGGTCCATCCTATAGCTTTTATATGCTTTCGTAGTACTTCAATGAGCAATTTCATCTGACTTTCAAGCAAGTCTGCGATAATAACTGGTAAAGTATTATTGGCTCCCAAGAACGCATATTTGAGATGAGAGGGTAGTGCTTTTAACTCTAGATTTGGCGGTTCCTCAGTTGATGGCTTTGCAGAAGGACTTCTCTATTTTTTAGGTCGATATCTAACTTGATTGGATTCCTTGAATATACTCCTCATCCCGATAAGGTAGCTACCACTTCATTATAGCCTTGAACTTCAGATTCATCATAATTAGCAATCATAGATTCAAGGAGTTCATTCTTTCGCATCAAATGGCTCACACTTTCCTCTGCCTCATCTATAACATCCTCAGTAGACACCACATGGATATCGCTTGGTTGTTTCATGGATTTGAAAATATTGAAGGTTACATCATCATCGTTCACCCGAAACTTCAATTTCCTGCTTTCAACATCCATCAATGCCCTCCCGGTTGCTAAGAATGGCCTTCCCAAAATAATGGGGATTTCAGCATCGATCTCACAATCTAAAATCACAAAGTCAGCCGAAAAGATGAACCGATCTACTTTTACCAAGATGTCATAGAGTATCCCCACTGGGTGCTTGATTGATCGATCCTCCATAAGGAGTTTCATTGTGGTTGTCTTTGGTTCACCCAAACCAAGTTGCTTGTATATTGCATAGGGGATCAAGTTGATGCTTGCTCCTAAATCGCACAAAGCTTTAGCTAATTGGAGCATGCCAATGGTGCATGGGATGGTGAATGCCCCAGGATCTTCTCTTTTAGTGATTAACTCTTTTGTCATAATTGCGCTGCAACTATAGGGCACTTCAATAGTTTCGTAGTCCAAGTTCCTTTTCTTTGTAACTAATTCTTTCATGAATTTGGCGTATCCCGGCATTTCCAACAACTTCCACCAGAGAAAGGTTAATTGATAATTTCTTGAACACTGACAAGAATTTTTTGAACTTCTCATCTTCATTCTTCTTTTTCAAGCGTTGGGGAAATGGTGGAGGTATTTTGGGTAAAGGGAGCATAACTTTTGGAACTTGAACATGTTGCTCCACTTCCTCCTGTGGTTGTTTGGCAAGGTTTTGTTGAATAGGTAATTATTGTTCTTCCATACCATGGCTTTCTTCATGATTTTGAGGATCCTCATCTTCTATCACATTTCCTATTGCCACATTTCCGCTACGGGTAACTACAGCCAGCCCTCTTTCATTATCTTCCATCAGTGTTTTGGACGTTAATTGAGCAGATGATGGACTCAATTGACCTTCCAGCATTTTGATGACATCATCTTGAGAATTCACTTTACTGTTTGATGATGAAAAGTCATATTTCATCCCTTTTAGCAAATCATCAGAGCCCTCAACTGTATCAAATATGTGTGACAATAAATCATTTACCCGATGACTACTTACATTCTCTTTAGATTTCGAGCTTTCACTCAAGCGAGTATGTTCCTCCTCATGATCATCTTGATCAGCCCAATCTTGCCAATATCTCCTTGGTTCTTCACCCATGTAATAGTTCCAACCTTGATTTCTGCCCCGCTGTTGATAGCGTGGGTGGAAAGCCTTCTCATATATTTTGGAGTTCCAACCTTGATTCTCCCCCGATCTTGAGTAATCGGAAGAAGAACCCCTTTCAATTCGAAATACTCCATATGTCCCCTTCATGTGTTCTTGTAGAATTTTCATTTGAGACAACATCTTTTTGATGTTTTCGTTCCTCTCCTTCTCTTTATCAAGTTGTTTTTACATTAATCTGAAGCACAATGGTGAAACTTGATCATCTTTGGTGTACCATACCTGGTTTACTTTAGTCATACCATCTAGGAGAAATGAGGCTACTTCAAATGATTGTAACATTATTCCTCCTTGCACCAATTGATCAACTATCCCTTTATTAACCGAGTCCAGACTACGGTAAAAGTATTGGAGCAATAATTCACTTGGCAGTCCATGCGTTGGGGACTTTCACAAAAATCTCTTGAACCTTGTCCATGATTCATGAATTGGTTCGCCTTCCTTTTACTTAAAATTCTGGATATCGTCCCTCAATTTTATCATTCTTGATGGAGGAAAGAATCTTTCATGAAAGGCCATAACCAACTCCTCCCATGACTTGATGGAGTTGTTTGGAAGCTCGACCAACCATTTAGTAGCTCCTTCGGTCAATGATAATGGAAATAAGCAAAGTCGTATGGATTCTTGCGATAGATTCTTGAACGATAAAGGGGTGCACACTTCCACAAAACTTCGTATATGTTCGTGCGAATCTTCATGCTCTAACTCTCCATATAAACCTCTTGAATGTATGAGCTGGAGTATCGCGCTAGTAACTTCAAACATTGCATTTCCGTCAGCTTGTGGCATGTAAATTGCACCCATCTCACCCACGTCGGCAGGGTTATAAACACTATTAACATCATCAATGTCGTCTCGATAGAGAGCACCATTCGCTGGATGTTGGCAGCTATTTTCCTCGTTTGCACTCATATGTCCTGTTGTGACACACAAACACTCAAAGAAAAACTGAAAGTTAAGTGAGTAGAACTACAACTATCAAGAACAAAAATTCTACTAATTTAAGAATTCTCAAATAACACCACTCCCCGATAGCGGCGCCATTTTGATGTTTGCGTAATCAAGACACAACTTCCAATGCAAATGTGTACGATCGTACAATAGTAAAGTAACCCAATCAAGGGTTGGTGTTGAGTCCTAAGGATGTGGGCTTGAGAATTAATAGAAAAATAAAATTAACTTCCAATTAGTCATAGCTAAAAACATTATCGAATATAAACATGTTAAATCTAAGGGGTGACACACGAGTGTCAATTAACAATGGGGGTTTGTCACAAGTAAACAAAAAAAGCAAAAATGCAAAGAGTACTAATCAAGAAGATGGGATTCTTGGGATGTGATAGGAATATGGGATGGACTAAACTACTGGGTACAAGCTATTGATATTAAATCCGTTGAATATTTATGACTAGGCTAGACTATAGTGGGATAAATTATCTCTCAAGCAACTTACCCCGAATCAACTCGTTTTCTCTCGAACACCGAGTTGCCACATGAAGAACAGCCTCCACCTTAGCCCACTCACTCTCTCGATCTGAGTGTGTGGGAGAAGGACTAGGGTTCACTCTCTCGAGCTGAACCTCATGCGACCCAATCCCATCGGCCATCAATTTAGTAGCCTTAGGTTTACGACATCTCTCTCGAGCAAGCCAAAAACACAAAGGTGAAATCGTATTTGCAACTACAATTTCATTAAGTTCCACCACAACTACTAAACTAAATCAAATTTATACAACAAATAAACCATCAACAAGAAAGACCCAACAGATAATCTAACCCATATTCACAAAATCACACCCCAAGAATTGGGGTTTTAGCTAGACATGTAAAAGAGATAGAAATTTATACCAATATGAGTTTGAATTCTAATGGATATGAAGATTTAAGTCTCAAAACAAGCAAAGAGTGAAGAATCCAGAAGACCCAAGTCCAAATTCGTGGAGTTGAAACCCTTTGAATCTTCAAGTTCTTCAAAACCCTCTCCAAACTTAGAACTCAAAATTATATGTTAAAAATTTCTATATTAAAAATCTGATGTTAAGCTACAACTCTCAATGAGTATTTATAGTTTTCAAAAATCTGTGATGTAGCGGATCATTCAGCATCGTTAGTCAAGATCACCGATCAACTCGGCGATCCTCCCTTTGGTAGGTTTCATCGCCGTCTTGCTCTATCCTTCAGCATCATCGTGTTTTGGACCATTGGGCGACATAGTATTGCTTCGCGGAACTGCTCGGCCACACGCCGACTGCTTCTTTTCACCGCTGATTTAATTCTTTCTTTCAGGGCTCAGCACACTAGAACAAAAGGCGAGAAAAAGACCTTTTGGCGACTCGCCGAATGGGTTTGACGATTCTCAGATCTGCATTTCTTCATTCTTTTAGCTGCCTTTGTTCCTTTTTTGCTAAGTATTATCCATGCTTTCACTCAAACTCCAAATACCTGAAACTTAAGGGTTTTCATCAGATATTGAGATAAAATATTCATTTGAGGACACTAATTCTATCAAAATATAGCCCTAAATGAGTCCAATTTGTGGACTCATCACATCTATATCATGAACGCGAACAAGATGATAAATACAACCCTTAGTAATCATCCTCGTCGCCTTAAGATAGGAAATAAACCTACCTTTCGGCATTGCTCTGTAGCCTTTTCCATTCCAGAACTGCCTCTACTGGAAAGTGGAATCTAACAATCTTTGTCCAATACTCAACATTAGCATAATAAGCCATTAACCAGTCCATACCCATAATGAAGTCGAAATCGACCATCTCTAACTCTACTAGGTCTACAGAGGTCTGACGGTCGATAATTTCTACCGTGCAACCTCGATAGACTCTCCTGGCAATAATAGACTCACCAACTGGTGTAGATACAATAAAGGATCGATCTAATGACTGTGCTACTATACATAACTTCCCCGCAATAAATGGGGTAACATAAGATAGAGTAGATCCAGGATCTATCAAAGCATAAACACAATAAGAGCAAACAATTAATGCACCTGTCACAACATCTAGTGATGACTCTAAGATCTGTCGGCCGGCTAGTGAATATGTACGATTCTGGCAACCACAAGAACTAGATGCTCCCTCTCTGCCTCCGCCTCTACCTGCTGAAGTCTAGGACTGTGCTAATGAGGATGAACCTACTACTGACCCGGTCGACTGACCTATACCACCCAGACCTATGGTCGGGCAGTTCTTCCACCCATGCCCCTGTTGTCCACAAGAATAACAACTCGTGGAACCCTGCCTGCACCTCCCAAAATGCATCCTACCTCAAGTAGCGCAACGCGGTGGTGCTGTCCTAGCCTAGCCTAGCCTGAACCCCTCTTCTGCTGAGAGCCTAATGCTCGTGAACCCTAACTTGGGCCTAACTATCCCTGACGACCATATCTACTACCCTGGAACTGTTGTGGTGGAGGTCTAGGTGGCCTACTAGAATATCGAGGTCTAGGACCACCCTAAAAATCTCCCGGTGAACCAGCGGGCCTAGCCCTCTTCTGTCTCTCTCGACACTCTCACTCATATATTGTAGATGTCGGTGATCCTCTATGCCTTGTGCAAAGACCAGAATTCGTGAGATATTCATATTATCATTTAGTGCGGCGGTAGAACAAGCGTCAATATTCTGAGTCAAGCCCTCCCAACCCATGTTGCCCTATCGGAGGTTCAGAAACTGGTCTACCCGGCCATCCCTAATCTTTCGAGGCAGATAGTGATCTATGAAAGCTTTTGTAAAGCTATCCCAAGTGGGTAGAGATACATTTTTCCCCTAGATCTCTCCCAACTCTCGCACCACAATACTGCAACATCGCGCAATCAAAATGCAGCTAACTCAACTAACCTAGTCGATGAGGCATGCATGACTCTAAAGATCCTATGAAGTTGATCAACAAAGTGATGAGGGTCCTCTCTGCGATCTGTCCCTGTAAACTGTGGAGGATTCAAGGCAAGAAATTCATGAGCTCTAAAACTTTCGGGCCCTTTAGAAGGTCCGGAAACATCTGGCGCAACTGGTTGGCACTGTGCAGCTAGTAATTGTGCTAACATACATACTGCACTCTTGAAATCCTGATCAGATAGAATAGGAGAAACTAAAGGTGGTACTGCTGGTGGAGCTGGAAGTCCTGTAGCCCTCAGAGGCTCCTGAAGCGGTGGAGAAACTATATGGGGCTGAGAAGATGTCTCCCCCTGGATCTCACAATAGGCTACCTCCAACTATGGTACGTTGTTGGTACCCTCGCCTGCAACTGTATCTAGTCCCTGGCTAGCTGTGGCTATCTGGTGTCAGCCATCTCTAT